GCAGGAATTTGAAAAGAATTGGAGGTGAAGATGTTTGTTAAGAGAGATGGTCAAACTGTGTATTTATTTTGGGGAAGTAAATGCTGCATTAGTAAAATAAGCCAAAACTAATAGCCTGGGTTTTGTTACATTTTGACTTTCTGCGTCTATGCTTTGTAAACAAGGGTGGTAAGTGCACTTAACTGAAACCACTATTTATGGTCCCTCTGCAAAGCCTGCTGAAAAGGTTGTTAGCATAGTCAGTCTAGTGTGAAGAATATAAGCCTGGGACTCGGGGAACTTATCTGTCCTTTCATCTCTGACGCTCATCTACTGAGTGACCTTGAGCAAGTCAGAAAGTTTCTTTAGCTTTGTATTAACATCTCTAAAACGGGCATAGTATGCTGGCCCATATTTATAAAGGTAGTTGATGTCTTGGAGTGGGGAAGGCATGGTTTAGCTTAATTTATCTTATGATCAATGGGAGAGCTGGGTAGGAACTGCAAAATATGTTGTGTGGGATCCAGGAGAGCTGATTGCATTGGGTCTTTCCTGGCCTTTCTGCTGAGGTTCAGGGGAGAATGCTTTTACAACGTCGGGAATACTTGGCATAATTCACCACTGAGAGAGATGAACATGCTGTAGTAGAGGAAGCTCTCTGTTCATGCTGCTGTGCAGTCTGCCGCTACACTATTGGGAAATGGAGCATGCATTTCTTTCAGTATTTCAGTTCAAATTCGCAGTAAGCTACAGAGCTGCAAAGCAGTTCACTGCCCCCAAAACAACTGACAGTGGTGCCTTGCAAGCGGACGGTGGACTGTTGCACCTGAGCAACACTGGTATCTCATGTACACACCTAATTCCCCATCGTGCTGGCTTCCATTAGGCGTTGAGACGTGGTTTTGGAACAGTTCCAGATCATGATCACACCAACGTTCAAAACAAAATCCACCAGGCATGTCTTAATTCTCTCTCTCTCTCTCTCTCTCTCTCTTTTTCTTTTCTTCCCTGTTAGTTACCCTGGAGGCCCAAATACCCCTGCAGGAATGGGGATCCCCCCACACACGAGGCCACCAGCTGATTTCACCCAGCCAGCTGCAGCTGCTGCCGCTGCTGCAGTTGCGGCTGGCGCTGC